CCATGAGTTCTAGGTCATACTGGTCTTTATGAAGCTTTGTCAATAAAATGAGTCAGGATAAAGGAAGGGAGGGAAGGAAAGAGAGAAGGAGGAAGGGAAGAGAAAGAAAACCAAAGCCTGGGCTCAGGTGGGAGCACTGTCAGGACCCCCCCAGCATCTGGCACCCCATCTGGCACCCCATCTTCCTCACATTAATGAAATGGCCCCGAGTCTAGCCACGTACATCATTGCCCAGCTACAGACAATGTTCCACATAATCTTGCAGGAAAATGTAACCACGGAACGAAGTTCTCACCGGCAGAAGGAGAACAGAAGGAGGGCTCTGTTTCTTCCAAGGAAAAGGCTTGTCCTTCCCCCTTGGGGACAGGACATAGGACTGGCAAAGATCTACTGCAACAAACTAATAAAATCCCTCCATTTGCAAGAAAAGAGGGACATGACTGGAGGCACAGCCAAGGATCATGGGATCCGCTTTGTGGAGCTGCCTGGAGAAGCAGATCCGAATGATGGGGAAGCCGAAGCAGGCAAAGTTTTGCAAGGCTGAGGCTGTGACTGCATTGTAAGACCCTGTCTCAAAAACAAGCAAATTAATAATTCAAACCCAAGTACCTCGGGTCATTCTGCAGAGCAAGTCTCTGCTGTCTGCCTCAGGATCTCTCAGGAGGTGGCAGCCAGCTCTGTGGTCACCACAACAGTGAACAACATCCACTCTCAAGCTCACTCTCCAGTGTTGTCAGAGAGCCAAACCTAGCTCCTCACCAAGTGGTTTCTCCACGGGTAAGTGTCCTGATGGCATGGTAGTGACTCACCCTCAGAGCAAATGACCCAAGAACCAGAGTGGCCAAGAATTAGACATTTTTGTTTGATTTTTCTTTTTCCTGTTGTTTTGTTGTTTGTTTGTTTTTGTTTTGAGACAGAGTTTCACTGTGTAGCTCTGGCAGTCCTGGAACTCTTGTTATGGACTAGGCTGGCCTCGAACTCACAGAGATCCGCCTGCCTCTGCCTCCTGAGTCCTGGGATTAAAGTCGTGTGCCACCACCGTGTGGTTGGTTGGTTTTTCAAAACAGGGTTTCTCTGTGTAGCCCTGGGTATCCTGGAACTCGATCTGTAGACCAGGCTGGCCTTGAACTCAGGGACTTGCCTGCTTCTGCCTCATGAATGTTGGGATTAAAGGCGTGTGCCACTATGCTGCACTGTCTTTTAAGTATATTATTTCCTTTGCTGTGTCAAAGCGTCATCTTTTTATAGAATCCATGGGTGTGTTTTTGCTTTTGTGGCCTGTGCCTTTGGGGTTTTATCTAAAGCTGCACTACCTAAACCAACATCTTGAAGTGTGTTCCCAGCCTTTTTTTTTCTCCAGGAGCTGAGGACCAAACCCAGAGCCTTGGGCTTGCTAGGCAAGCGCTCTACCACTGAGCTAAATCCCCAACCCCTCCCTAGCCTTCTTCTAGTCACATTCTAGTTCCAGGATTTTTGTTGTTGTGTGTTTTTTGTTTTGTTTTGTTTTGTTTTGTTGTTATCTGGGTTTTGTTTGGTTTTGTGACGGGGTCCCACCCAGCAGCCCAGGCTGGCCTGGCACAGCAGTTTTGCCACCTCTGCCTCCCAGACGGTGCTAGGATTGGAAGTGTGAGCCACCACCACGGGCTTTGGATTTCAAGCTTAATATCCAGATCTTGGATTCACTTTGAATTGCTTTGGGGGTTTGATGATAAGGGGAGATCTACTTTCATTCTTCCGACACCGTTTATTGACTGTCTCTTCTCTGCTGTTCTTGGTACTTTTCGTTAGAAACCAGTTGGCCCGTCTGGGTACAGATTGGTTTCTGATGAGCCAAATTATTAAAATGCCCAAGGCCAACCCTTCTCCAATCTGCTGCGCCCACTGCCAGCCATCATCTGAGGCCCTGAACTGTAGCCTCAGTGTCAGGAAAGATAAGGGTGGCAACTCACCTCGGGAGAATTTACTGGGAGCTGAAACAGCATGCACAGAAGTATAAATTACAGACCACGTGGTACCCACTGTGGCAGGCTTTTTGTGAGGATAACCTGGGATACTCACCGCTCAGCTAGGCAAGTGATCTGCATAAGCACCTCCACTGGCCCGGCCTTCTAGGTGTTTTCCCACGGAGGCGGTGACTCTGTTTTAGCCTGAGGGGAATGGGTAGGGAAGGACCTTCTCCCTTCCTGTCACTTTCCCCTTCAAAGGCTCTTCCTCTTTCACAACTTTGTGCTAGGGGCACCTAGCTGACATCCTTAAGAAAGCAGGATCACTTATCACACCTGACCTGGAACCCATGAGTAGAAACTGCCGTCTATCTAATAATACATGTTGTGCACACTTGGAATTTGATTTTCAATCAGAATTAAGGGTTTGTTGTTGTTGTTGTTTTACTTTGTAGTTTTAGGTCGCAGCAAAATGGACAGGAAGCATCAGAAAATTCCCATCTTCTTCCTGTCTCAACGCATGCACAACCTCCCCCGTTTCCAATATCCCCCACCAAAATGGTAGGTGTGTTACAACGGTTTATAACCTATACAGACGAGGTGGCCCCCACTTTTAATACCAACTCAGGAGGCAGAATCTCCGTGAGTTCAGGGCTATCCTGGTTTATGCCAGCTGGAGGGTGTGGCAGAAAGAGAGTTGGAGGCCAACCCGGGCTTATGTAACCTTCACACACACACACACACACACACACACACACACACACACACACACACACACACACACACACACAGGCATTGAGATGACTCAGTGGGTATGGCTCAAGGCACTTGTTACCAAGCCTCTCACACTGAATTTGAGCCCCAGAACTCAAACAGTGGAAGGAGAAAAGTGACTTCCACACGTTGTCCTCCGATTCAATGCTCAAGCAGTGGCATGTACAGCACCCCACAACTGGGGTGGGGGGGGGGAGAGCTTCTGTACAAGAAAAACTGAGAGCTGAAGGGACATGAATGCTACACAAATCTGTAAGCCCCAGAAACCAGTAAAAGTTATTAAGCAAAGGAAATAATCAGAAAAATAACCCTGGGTCACTATCAAATCAGAGTACTATTTCTCTCAACAACTGCAGGATTGTTACAGGAAACAAGGCCTATCAGAAGGATTTCTGGAGCACATTTTTCAAACAGAATCTCTGGGCTCAAGCTTGGGTGTCCGTAGATGTCACATGTCTGCCATTAGCGTGATTCCTGTGACTCTGACGTCAGAGGCATAGAGGAGGATCAGAGAGGCCATTAGGAAGTCTTTGCAGTGATCTCATTAAGAACCCAGAGGAAATGTGTCATTCCTGAGACGTCTTTAATCCCAGTATGCAGGAGGCAGAGGCAGAGGCAGGCCGATGATCTCTTTGATTTCCAGGCCTGTCTAGTCATATATAGTAAGTTCCAGCTCACCCAGACCTACATTCTTAAAACCCTGTCTCAAAACAAACAAACAAACAAAAGGCTGGGCGATGGTGCTGCACACCTTCAATCCCAGTACTAAGGAGGCAGAGTTCAAAGCCAGCCTGGTCTACAGAGTGAGATCCAGGACAGGCACCAAAACTACACGGAGAAACCCTGTCAGGAAAAAACAAAAGAAACAAACAAACAACAACAACAACAAACGGAGAAGGCAATTAGATCTGCATGGGACACAAGCCCCCAGACTAGCTCTAAAAGAACAGAATTGTTAAGGAAGGAGTTGATAAACTACAGTGAGCCCTCCACATTGTCAAATTATGCAAATATTAGGAGGGAAAGACATTTGGGATGTCTAGCTTACTTGCAAACACCATGTCGCTGCCCACAAGGGCCTTCTGAATTTGGAGACCATCTGACCATCCCCAGAGATATGAAGACTGCCTTTGTTCCAGCAGCTCTGTGGTGCTGGGCAAGACATTTGATACTTTAACGACTATACTTTGAAATGGCAAAGCACTCACATGCATTAGCTTACTTAGGTGCCAGGAACTCCCCAGAGTTAGGGAAAGTACTGGGTTCCAATGGACAGATCAATAGAGGGATAAAAAGTGTCACACGAAGAGCAGGACATTTTGTTTGCTTTATTTGTGGGTCTCCGCACACACTGCCTCTGACCCTGGATGTGGCTCCTGTACCAAGGTACTTTGAATGATACTGTACACTTGATGGTAATACTTTAAGTGGAAAGATACACAAAAACAGAAATAAACCAGTTGGGTGTGGTAGCATACTCCTGTAATCCAAGCAATCAGGAAGCAGAGGAGGGCAGATCTCTCTGAGTTGGAGGCCAGTCGGGACTAAATAAATTTCTATTAAGAAAATGAAATAAACGATGGAATGTCATGCAAAATAAGTTATACTGCACAGAGAACTGAGGCTGTCTTTTGCTGTTCGTTCAACACCGACACAAGACCCCTGCGTTGACAAAGCCAGCTTCTGGATTTTAGTCACAATCTGGGAGATTGGAACCCTGGCAAGTGATGATCTTCATTCAGCTTGAGGCCTTAAATCCTTGTTTGGCGGAGAAGGCGCTGTCCTGAAGTGAGGTGAGAACAATAGCCCTTTGAAGATCCGGTTTTGAGTTTCGTCTGCTTTTGCCTTCTTGTCTTGAGTTCCCTCCTTTCGCAGTGGGTCTGGGAATGCGCTAGTTGCCACGCACAACGCTTCAGGACTGGCTGCCACAGAGCTATAGAAATTCGAGACAGACACGGATCTGTATGCGGAAAACAAAAGTGGCACTAATCGTCGGGTCGTTCCCCTTACCCTACTCCATCCCCACCCCCACTCCCCGTCCCGGTCCTGGGAGGCGGTGGTCCCCGCCCCCTGCGGGCGTCGCCCCTCACGCTTCTCTGCAGACCGGGGACTCCCCAGGTCTGGTTAGGAGGCGGGGGTAGAAGCCTACCCAGCAAAAAGGCTCCCCTTTCCAGAGGGGGGGAACCGCCTGTAAATAATACACGGGGGCAGGAGAAAGACTCCCATTGGCCGGAGGGCAGGTGACGAGCAGGGGGCGGGCTCCCGGGAGGGGGCAGTCAAAGGGAGGGGGTGTGCGCCTCGCGGTGTCAGTTTTCGGAATCCCAGCGCGCACTGCTAGGCGCGGTGGGACCCCCCAGCCCGGCTTCGTGCCCCGGCTGCTGTCTCCTCGGCCGGACTTCCCGGCCCACTCCGCTGCCCACCCGGTCCGGGGCCCTCCGCGATTCCCCTCGGCAGGGCTCCGCTCAGAAAGACTTTTGTTTGTTTCCTCCTCTGCCGTCTTTGTTGCTCTGCACACCGGCCTCTCTGCAGCCCCTGACTCCTCCGGGAGTTGTATCTTCCCCAGCCCGGCAATCGCCGCGCGCAGCCCCGCCAGGTCTCAACACCCCGTCTCCGTTCGCTCCGGGAAGCCGACCTTGACTTCATTGATGCACCCATTCCAGTGGTGTAACGGTGAGTCCCGGGATGGGCGGATGAGCGGACACCGCTCAGGTCCAGGTCCTCAGCCAAGTTTTCTCGTCTCTGGGACGGCCCAGAAAGCATCCTGGCGTCCTGCGGTGCTCTGCACAGCGCGCGGTTTGAAACGACCCATTCTCAGTGTTTGGGGATTAAAAAGGGGTCTGGAAGCGAGTAGAGGGCCAGGAGCGTGCGAGCCGAGGGCTTCCCGGCCTTTGTGTGGTGGTCCGGCTCTCTTCTACCCCCTTCGCCTGCCTTTGTGCGCTCTCAAACTCCGTTCTTTGTTGTGGTGGTTGGAGAATTAAATCCGCGCTCGGGCTAGGATCTCCTAGAGGGAGCTCAAGTTCCGGTCCTGAAACTTTGCAGGCTATTTTAAATATGTATACAGTGCAACGTGCGGGACAGGGCGCGGGGTGACTTTTCCTCATCTTTGTTGGTTCCCACCAGCTTCCAGGGGGGCAAGACTGGATTAAAGAGCGTCGCTTTGCTGAATAGATAAAGCCTTGCAGATTGCTGGGCCCCCAGCTCTGGGCTGGCCTGGCAAGAGCTTTGCTTTCTGGCAAGGAGGCCAGACGGTGGGGTCTGCTTTCAGCCTAAATGGTGACAGCGCCTCCAGGCCCAGCCACCCGCCACTAACCCCTACCCCACACCCCAGGGGGTAATGATGTGAAATTAGTTCACCTGAGGCTTTTTGGGTGGCTCAGGTGTTACGGGTTAGGAACGTTTCTGGATTTGCTGTCTTAAACTACCGGTTGGATCTTTCTGAGCCGGTCTCTTAAGCTTTAGATGTTAATACCACCCACCCTTTCCCCGAAGGGCCCCCAGAATCTTGGCCACTTTTTCTAAACATGAAGAGTTGGACGAGGTGGAAAGCAGCTGGCGCTTTTTTTTTTTTTTTTTTTTTTTTTTGGTATGGCTGGCTGGTTACTCAGAAGGGGGAAAAACCATTCTTGAGTAGACTTCTGCCAGATCTTGGATTAATTATTTCAAGAGGCTTTTGTTTTAAGGCAGGGTTTGGGCCGCATGTGTATGAGTGGCCCCCATCCCCCCACCTTCCTCCTTTTGCTGGTCGGATCTAATTTCCTGAAAATGAACCAAGCTGTGTGTGATAGGCGGGTAATGGAGAGGGGCGGGGGATGGGGGGGTTGAGGCCTGACGGTGTATCCCAGCATCTGGGAAAGATTCCCTTTGGCTGGAAAGCAGCAGTTCCCAGATCCGCTGGTCTCGGCCAGACCTGCTCTGACGTCATTCCTGCTTGCAGCCTGCCAGCTGAGATGAGACATTCTGGTGTCAAAGTCTAAGACAATGGACCAGACACTTAGGGAGGACTAGGCTGTCAGTATCCCCGACCTTCTTCTGGGCTGCTCCCTTTCGAAAGTGTTTTATCTTTCGCTGCCCTACCCCCACCAGGCCTTGCTCATGCTAAACATACTCCATCACTGACCTCAGTGCACCCTTTATCTTGCGTTTCTTAAAGTGATTGACAGATCCCCTCTCTCGACTCCGGAGGGAATGCAACTGTATTTCTGCTCCCCTTGAAAAACCTCTTAGACAACCTCATATCTGGGATGGGTATTCTTTGACCTTAAAATTTTAAGAGAAAACTTTACTGTCCAATTTGGATAATAACTTTTTTTTTTCATTTCTCTTCAAGAGGACAAGTTGAACATTCCCCATCTGAAAATTAAAAATCCCTGGAAAGTTCAAATTGTATAAAATTCAAATGTGATATCGCAAGAGAAAATTTCACAGCATTAAACTTTGCTTCATGCACAAAATAACTTAAAATGTGTCAAGTTATCTTCAGGCTGCATGAATAAAGTGTATAAAACATAGGATGAATTTCATGTTTAGACTTGAGCCCTATCCTGGAGATAATCACACTATGTACAAATATTCTTTTTGGTTTTTAGAGTCAAGATTTCTCTGTGAAACAGTCCTAGCTGCCCTGGAACTTACTCTATAAACCAGGCTGACCTGGAATTCACAGAGATCCGCCTGCCTCCGACTCCCAAGTGCTGGGATTAAAGGCGTGTGCCACCACCACGGCCCTGTACAAATATTCTAAAGTAAAAATATTTGAGGGGCTGGAGAGATGGCTCAGAGGTTAAGAGCACTGGCTGTTCTTCCAGAGGACCTGAGTTCAATTCCCAGCAACCACGTGGTGGCTCACAACCATCTGTAATGAGATCTGGTGCCCTTTTCTGGTGTTCTGCACTGTATACATAATAAATAAATCTTTAAAAAAAAATATTTCAAATCTTTGGGCAGTGGTGGCACACACCTTTAATCACAGCACTTGGGAATTGAAGGCAGGCGGATCTCTGAGTTCCAGGACAGCCTGGTCTATAGAGTGAGTTCCAGGACAGCCTGGTCTATAGAGTGAGTTCCAGGACAGCCAAGGCTACACAGAGAAATCCTTCTCAAAAGAAAAAACTCAAACCAATTTTGTTCTCAAAAGTATGAATGATACTCAATGGGTTTTCACTGTCACCCATGCTGGCCTCAGGAAAATTCAGTTCTGCCTGCACCCCTCAGACTGCAGGGGTCACACACATGAGCTCCTATGACAGCAGGCTGTTGTGTGACAAAGCTTTTTTCCTGGGGAAATGCAACTCATGTCTGTCTATTCACGCTAGCTAGGGATTCCACGACAGACCAAAGTTATGGATACGAAATCCAACTTGGATGAACCAATGAGTTTTACTGGGGTTACGTACAGGAATATGGGTGAGGGGTTACTCACAGAAGCAGGAATGACTCATATAGCTGTATCACCAAAGCCCACTCCAGCATGGGTGACTGCTCACAAGAGCTGGGAAACCTGGAACACGCTGCACAGCCTGCAGCTCAACAGGTTGGAGAGTGCACTTTCCAAGTGACTCGTCTAAACCTCTTCTAGGTAGCTGGTCTGATTTTTAAGAGTCTTTGCAGCTCAGCTTCCTTCTATCTGAGTTCAGATTCTCAGCCTCTCTAGCAGGGAGGTGGGGAGGCCCCTGGTGAATCTGGTCAGTTTCAGGGACTTCCTGAAGCTATTTGAGTTGTTTACCTTCCTGTTTAAGGAGCTTCCTGCAGAGTGAAGTCTTTTAATCTCGGAGGAAACTATTATTCAACACATGCTTGAACATCTATTCTTGAAGCTGCCTCCTTATATAGTCTACAAAGTCCCAAGTTCGCTGATTCAGTCCTAGAGCCCCAGGGAAACCCTTTTAGGAGATGGGAAAAGATTGGAGATAAATTGATCTGGGACTGCTGGAACCAAAGTACCAGAAGGGTGCTATTGTATATCCTCTGTACACAACAAGCTTTTCAGAATAGAAATAGGAGGTTCTTTAGGGCCCAGTAGATACCAGGGTCCTGCTTATGTAAGGTCCATAGGAGAGCCATGGCAAATGTGGAGAGGATGCTGGTCCTCTTACAGCATCCAACATTTCTGTGGCAGAATGAAGGAGGTGCAGTAGAAGGTCCTGGTGGTCCTGAAGGTACAATTTTCTGGAAGAGAGTTCCTGAGACCCTTTACTGGCGCGGAGTGAAGGATGCTGGGGCAGGCCTAGCGTGATAGCTTAGCAGAGAGTTGCTCTGTGAAAGACCCACTGGAAAGCAAATCCTCAAGTGGGAACCAGTGAGGAAAATGGTCTTTCTAACCCTCTGGTGGAGCCTTGAAGCAAGAAACATCCTATTGAGCAAAGCAAATTTTAGTAGCTAATTGCTTCTTTAATTTCCCCTAATTGAAAATTCCTTCAGAACAAGAACTTCTTTCGCTTTCTGTTTCCCCACAAGGTCTAGGTCAGTGTATAAAACACACCCAGAACAAAACCTGTTGGCTGACTGGTGATTTATTAGCTGAGGGCAGTTTCTGGGCAGTTTTCCCAAACATCAGTCTTCCTACTTTGAAGTAGGAGCTTTTGCCAAGGAGAGACTAGGTTTCTTTGAGAAAGCAGGGAGCTGCCTGTTAACTAGCTATGTAGACAGACCAAACCCTAGCTCAGGGCCCTGCGGAGTGTTTAGGAGTCCAAGTTGGTATGGTCCAGGCCTAGGAGGGTTCGGGCTTGTTGGGAGGACTACCCATATTCTCTGGCTCTGTCTTTGCTCTCCGAACTATAGACTCACCTCTACGATCACATCTAACTTTGGTCCAGGAAGGTGCTTGAGTCTTGTCTCCTTCCCACGTGGAAAGTCATCTATCCATTCCTCTGTGCTCTTTTAATCTCAGCTACCATGCTTCTCCGAAGGTTATAGTTGTGAGCCTGAGCCTAGCCTTTAAGAGCTGAGCAGCCGTCTCTCTCCAGCCCCATGCTTATCAAATAATCAATGCAGAGCGAAACAAGAGTCAAATGAAGTTGATACTAGCAACAACAGGGTAACAGAAGATATGCTGCGCAAAAACCATGACGAGTGATGCAAGTTTTTAGCATTGTAGAATTCCATGACAGAGATCATTGGAATATCCTAAAGACCTTGCGGGCAGAGGGGTGGGGGTGGGGGCCGAGGATTCAGCTCAGTAGTAGGTCACTCACTGCCTAGCCTATGCAAGGTGCTAACTAGTTCAATCCACAGCCCTGACCTCGGAAAGGAAAGTTATCGCAGGACCAAGACTAGACTTCAGAAAGGCAAGAATTCTAGGCAAGAGAAGGCTACCTAGATAAAGGTGTGGAGATAGACATGACTGTGGTTGGGCAAGATAAAATAAGACTGGCCCAGGTAGAGAAAGCTGACAGGATATTGCAAGGGGGCAGGGAGGGGGCATGTTCATGTAGACTCGATGCCAGACAAGAGTTTGGAAATTGCATGTAAGTGGAGTTCGGAAGATGTGCCAGACATGTAGGATAATTAGAGGAAGCAGTGGTGACATCAATAAGACAGGAGTAGGCAATTTGTATAAAAATGGATGTGGCATAGTCTGACTTTTGGAAGAAGGCTTAGGTCACCCACTGATATAAGGGACAAAGAGGAATGATGTACCATGTGTGACTCTTAGTTTTGTCATCACTGTGACAGAATCATAATCATACACAACTTAGAAAATTTTAGCACATGGCTTTTTGAGGTTGAAGTCTATCAAGTGTGGTGATATATACTTGCCTAATAAACTTGCCTGAGGATCGGAGGAAAGAGCCAGCCACTAGATTAGACATAGAGGTCAAGCAGAGGTGGCACACACCTTTAATCCTAGCACTTGGGAGGCAGAGATCCATCTGGATCTCTGAGTTCAAGGCTACACTGGAAACAGCCAGGCAGTTCTTTAATCTCCATACTGGGAAGCACACACGCCTTTAATCCCAGGAAGTGACGTGGCTGGGCAGAGAACAGTATATAAGGTGTGAGGAGACAGAAATGAAGGCAGTTCAGCTGAGACCCTTCTGGGTGAAGACTCAGAAGCTCTCATTCTGAGGATTCGTGGAGACGGGATTGACTGAGGAGTTGGCGAGGTAAGGTTAGCTGTGGCTTGCTCTGCTTCTCTGTTGAGGCTTTTACCCCAATATTTGGCTCTGGGTTTTTTTGTTAAAAGCCCATCTGAGATTTGAACAACAGGCAAATGGGGAAGATGTAGCTTTACCTCCTGGGGTCCAAGGAGCAGAGAGGAGCATCTAAGCCTGCTGCAGGGAAGCCTCAAGTCTGGACCATAACACAGTATCACAACTGATTGTGGTCCTTAGTTGGTCTGCTGCAGACTTGAGGTAACACTCAGTCCTGGTAATCACCAGGTCAAATCCTGGCTCCTAACCAAAAAGCCAGGAGAGATCCTAGCCCCTGAGGTCTGGCAGATCTTGGGAAAGTAAAAAGGCTAGGAGTGTAGAAGGTGGTTGGAATGTATATAGGACACAGATTCTGGTTAATCATGGATATCACTCTTTAATGCTTTTGGCTATTCTCTTTCCAGTTGTCTTATCTTCCTAGATGTCTGAGGTGATAGAAGAAGAAAGTATTTCCTAAAAGGAATTTGGTTCTTTGTGGTGGGTTGTTTTTTTTGGGGTGGGGGTGAGGGAAGGGAGCAGCGGTTGGGGGAGGTTTCGAGACAGGGTTTCTCTGTGTTGCTTTGCGCCTTTCCTGGAGCTCACTCGGTAGCCCAGGCTGGCCTTGAACTCACAGAGATCCACCTGGCTCTGCCTCCTGAGTGCTGGGATTAAAGGTGTGTGCCACAAAGGCCCAGCTTTTTTTTTTCCCCAGGGTGTGGGAGGTAGCCAAGGGTATCCCTGCATAGCTCAGGCTAACCTGAAACTCATGATTCCCTTGTTCCAGCCTCCTGAGTAGACACTTCCCAGTTAATTAGGAGTATAATATTGTGCCCAGCTAAGAAAATCTTGCCTTTCTCTGAAGACTTTCTTTGGTTTATTGCCCAAAGTCTGAGCACCCACCCACTTGGACACCAGGCATGGGCAAGGGAAGATGATTGCCTCATGGGAGGGCCAATGAGAAGGGAAGCAGCTAGTGGCTAGCCAGTGCTTCCAAGCTGAATGTGCAGGAGAATCTCCATGGGTCTTCCTAATGATTAATCCACTTCACTTAGTGTGGTATAGACTTAAGACTGCACGTTTCTCTTTCCCCCCCCCCCACCTCGATACAGGGTTTCTTTGTGTAGTTTTGGTGCCTGTCCTGGCTCTCCCTCTGTAGACCAGGCTGGCCTTGAACTCACAGAGATCAACCTGGCTCCGCCTCCTGAATGCTGGTATTAAAGGCTTGTGCCACCAAAGCCAGCTAAGACTGTACATTTCTACCAAGTTCTTAGGAAATATACTCAAGGATGAGACCTTGAGGCTGTGAGTAGAAGCCCATATTCCCTGGCACCAGTCCTCATCACCACCTTCTGGAATGCTGGCCTGGAGTTCTAGTGAACAATTTCTATTCTGGTTCTGGCGCAGCTCCTCTTCTAGAACAGGTGCTTAAGAGTGACAAATGGGGGGCTGGAGAGATGGCTCAGAGGTTAAGAGCACTGACTGCTCTTCCAGAGGTCCTGAGTTCAATTCCCAGCACCCACATGGTGGCTCACAACCATCTGTAATGAGATCTGGCACCCTCTCCTGTCTACATAATAAATAAATAAAAAAAAAAAAAAAGAGTGACAAATGACCTTTGCAATTAATTCCTCTTTGCGGCTTATTATTTCTCAAATCATCATTTCTATTCCTCTACTTGGCTAGTTTTCCTATGATGAGGTTAATTCCATAGTAATAACTGCATGAACATCACCTAGTTAGCTTAGGAGACATGAGTCAGGACTCAAACATATTTTCTCACCTAGGTGCTTCTTTTTGCAATGTACCCAATGAGTGTGTCCTACTTGGAGGAAGTTTTTTTGTTTTGTTTGTTTTTTCGAGACAGGGTTTCTCTGTGTAGCTTTGTGCCTCTTTTGGATCTCGCTCTGTAGACCAGGTTCGAACTCAGAAAGATCCGCCTGCCTCTGCCTCCCCAGTGCTGGGATTAAAGGTGTGCGCCACCACCGTCCTGCCAGAGGAAGTTTTATTATTGTTTTTTTCTACTTACTGTCCTTGCCTAAATTCCTTTTTTTGTTTGTTTGGTTGGTTGGTTGGTTGGTTGGTTGGTTGGTTTTGGTTTTTTGAGACAGGACTTCTTTGTGTAGCTTTTTGAAGCCTGTCCTGGAACTCACAGAGATCCACCTGCCTCTGCCTCCCAGGTGCTGGGATTAAAGGTGTGCACCACCACTGCCCTGGCTTCCTTGCTTGTTTTTTGAGACATAATTTTCTCTGTAGCTGTCCTGGAATTCATTCTGTAGACCAGGCTGGCCTTGAACTCAGAAATCCACCTGCCTCTGCCTCTGGAGAGCTGAGACAAAAGGCGTGTGCCACAGGCCAGGCTTCTAAATTCTTAATCCATTCAAGTGCTTTGCCTAACATTCCATTTTATAGATTGGCTAAGGGACTTATTCAGGACCATGTATGTGGTTAATAGTTAGTGCTGGAATATAAGCTTAAGTTAGAACCTGACATTCTGGATAACACAGTGTGCCACGGGCCCCAGTGGTAAATGTCTAACTTTAGAACTATTTGCCTCTTGTTTTGCAGGGTGTTTCTGTGGGCTGGGACTGGTTAGTACCAACAAGTCCTGCTCAATGCCACCTATCAGTTTCCAAGACCTTCCCCTCAACATCTACATGGTCATCTTCGGTACAGGCATCTTTGTCTTCATGCTCAGCCTCATCTTCTGCTGCTACTTCATCAGGTTGGTTGCTTGCTGGCTGATTTGGGGAGGGAACTCAAGAAAGAAGGAGCCTGGGCCATGGAAGATATTGAGCAAGGTCCTCCCACCCACCCTCCCACACAGACACATCAGAGCCCTGTGCCTGGGCCTCTGGTGGGAGGATGCACATTAGCCCGCCCTTCTCTTGGACCCTTGAGGTCTGGTGTTTCTATTTATATCAGCCTTATCAAGTTATCCCAGAGCACATAAGGTCACCAAGGGTTGGACTGCGTCCCACCTCTTGGCCAGCTAGTTATTCTAAGTTTGCCTAGAACGACTGTTGGCTGAGCCATAAAGCCGGCGCTCTTAACCGGCTTCCCACTCACAGCCAGGGGTAGGTAGGTAGGTAGGTAGGTAGGTAGGTAGGTAGGTAGGTAGGTAGGTATTAGTTCTTTTGTTCTTCTGTGAAATTGCCAGCTCTCCCAGTGTTGATGTTAGAAGCTCATGGTAGAAAACTCAGAGTGGAAAGGAAAAATGACACTCTTAGTTGCTTAGGGATCAAGGGAAGGACTTGAGCTTGGCAGGGGTAGCTAAGCCCCAGGAGCTGTTTCTCCTTAAGGTGAAGGACACAGGAGCTTATGGATGTTATCTGCTAAAAATCAGGGGAGATGGTCGTGTTTAAAGAGCCTATATCAGGAGTGGAATTTGAATACAGAACCCACGTTAATGCTGGGTGAGCATGGCAAAACCCGAGGTAATTCCAGTCCTAGAATGTGGAGATGGGATCCTTAGAGCAAGCTGGCTAGGTAGACCAACCATATCAGAGAGCTCTGAGTTCAAGGGAAAGAAGCTGCCTTGGTGAATAAGGTAGAGAGCCACTGAGGAAGACTGCTGGTGTCGGTATCCTAAACATACACATGTGTGCTTATACACATAGGAATATACATGCACATCGGGCAAAGTGTTGGACATGCTTGGTACTTAGAGCAGAAACAAAAGCAGAGTTCTAATGGGGTGTTGGATTGGTGCATGCTGTAGGTCCCTGTCCCATGAGTCTGCCCTGTACATTGGAGAGAGTAGGACGTCTCTCTGGCCAATAGAACATGGTAATAATCTTTGGAGACTTTAATCGAATAAATGTAGAAAATTAAGAGACAGTTGTCTTTAAAACTTGAATTTCTCAACTGGGCGGCAGTGGTGGCACACACCTTTAATCCCAGCACTTGGGAGGTAAGAGGCAGGATGATCTCTGAATTCAAGGCCAGCCTGGTCTACAGAGCAAGATCCAGGACAGGCTCAAAGCTACACAAAACAAAAGAAAAACAAACAAACAAAAACAACTTGAATTTCTCCACCTAAGTGTGCAGAGAAATAGTGTTTTAAATATTCCTCTGATACAATAAGTGCAACATTCACATTTACCTGCTAAGTGGGAGTGAATGTGGACTTCCTCTTTTCTATTCTATAATCCCTATGATTTCCCTCCCAGAACTATTATTCATTGGTCTTTTCCCTCAACCCCTTTATCAAGCAGTTAACCAATTCTCGTAAAGGGTAAAGGTATACATGTTTCAAGTATCACAGATTTTTTTTTTTTTAGAATGTGACTAATAGAAATATAAATTTATAAAATTTTAAAAAAAAACCACCCATATTTCTCTATTTGGCTCCTTTCTACACACACACACATGCCCCAAAGATGATGAACAAAAGGAAATCCAGAGGCTAACACTCTGATCAACAAGTAGATGACTGGGGTTCATTTCCTAATTGCCACCGATAGGCATGACCTTGTGTTTTGGGCTAGTCTTTGCTAAGGACCTTCTTGTGCCAGGCATTGTGGTAGACCATTTAAGCTCACCTAATTCTGTGAACAAGTTTCCAATGTAAGGGTTAGGGAGCTGCACAAATGAAGACATTCATGTCGAGACGGTTAGGAATTTGTCCAGGAAGGTGCTGACTGAGGTGGGTTCATCTGACGATTTAGCCTTTCGGGCTCTCCTCCACATTTGTCTCTTATGTTGCCTTCTTCCTTGCATGGGAAGTAGAGCTGATGAGACCTCCATGGCCAACCTCTTTCAGCTGGGTGCCAGGGTCCTGCAGGAGACAGGCTCTGGTTCTGTCTGGTTCTGATTTGTTTTGTTTTGGTTGTAGCAGAAGAACAGAGAGTAGTGACCACATGGTACTAACAGCCACCCCCACTGTGGTACAGCACAGTGCCATCTGTCCCTTCTGCAGTATTCTGCTCCCTCATCACCCTACCCTGTGTCCTGTAGCCTGTCCAGAGCCAGCTGACCTCTGGGTCTCATGGTTCCAAAGGCTCACTGGCATGTGGTATATGTGTCTATATATAGAAAAACACACAGGCACATAGGCCACTTCCTCTCCCTGCTTCTCAGTTTCCACCTCAGCCAAAATAGGCCCCTGGCTGCCACTCCTGACCCGGTGAGCTCGTGAGCCAAGGACGCCTCAATGGCCAGCTGCCCCTTGTTTCTCCTCTTTCCCCTCAGAGCTGACCTCTGCTTACACAGGATGGAGGGGCCAGTGGAATACAAATCGGCAGGAAAGGAACAATTATTTTCTGGAGCTGGTTGCATTGTTTGCTCTCAAAGGGAAAAGAGGGAAGGGAAGGGAGAGCCTGCTGGCGGTGGCTTGCGATGGTGTCATTGAGATCGTGGTATTTTTAGTGGCTTTGCTCAGCCAACAGCTGAGAAAGCCACCTGTCTGGAGTTTTTTGGCTCTCCATCCCCAGCTGGGACAGCCCAGAGTATGCTTTTTGCTGTTTTCTTTGCAACCCTTTTTGAGCCCCATCTCCTCATGACCTAATCCTTCCTGAGCTGAAAGCCATGCAGGATGAAGATGGAGCTTTGAGGGTCCTAGATCCCTCCGTTAACAGAAGCCTGCCTTAGGTGAGAGGACCCCAGGCACTAGGACCCAGTGGTCATAAAGCATAGAGCACACACACACTGCACAAGTGTATCAGTGTTGTGATGAGGCAGTTGAACCTTTAAAAAAAATGTGTGGCATTCTCTCATTTAAACTTCTACCCCCAGACAGGGTTGGAATGTAGTTTAGTGACCTATCAAGCATTTGGTCCTTAGGCTTAGAGGGTGGGGAAAGAATGAGCTCAGGAGTGCCAATGGACTAGGTTAGATCTAAGCTGGAAAGTGCCTAGCACGAAAGGTACTCTCTCATAACCCTAGCATCTCAGAGATTGAGGAAGGAAGACCAGAAGGTCAAGGTCATCCTTGGCTGCGTAGCCAGTTTGAAACCAGCCTGGATTATGTAAGACTCTGAAAACAAACAAAAAAAAAAAAACAGGAAAGAAAATGAAAGTTTTCTTCTAAAGAAAGACCACCCCACAGTATGGTCAGGTAATAGCTCATTCTTGCTTTGGACGCGCCCTTCCCAGCCCATCTCCTTTGGAAGCTGAGACAGAGACACACTTGCATTATATATGAAAACCTTTTCAGGACTGGAGAGTGAGCAAAAACACTGGGTTGAGAGAAGCAGGGGTGGGGGGTGGGGGTGGCAGTGACGCCTCAGCCCCAAGCCCTGGCAGGAATCCACCTGGCTGGGGCTTTCCCAGAGGCTCCAGGAACATTCAGCCTTGCCAGACCACGTGACTTCCTATCAGGAAGGATGGAGGCGGCTGGTGGCCAGATCTTATCTGTCCTGACCCACCTCTCTCAGGCATGGCTGTCTGCCCCTCTGCTTCTTCACCACTCCGGGAGGAGCTGCATCCACTGAAATGAGGCGTTCTGTGTTTGTCACTCAGACCAGCCACCTTTTTATTTACCGGCTTGTAAAGTCTCCATCACAACCGACTAGCAATTCTAAGCCATTGTAGTATTGTAGCCAGTCCCATAGGCAGAGCATCAACTGATGAACCAGTGGCGTTTAAAAAAAAAAAAAAAATGAATTTTTCTTCTGTCGTGTTGGGGACCAAACCCAGGCTTTCATGCGTGGGAAACAAGTGCTCTATTGCTGAGCTACACCCCTGAAGTTTCAGGTCGTGAGATAAAAAGTGTGTGTACTATGAGATGTTATTTTTTCTTTTTCCTTCTATCTTTACTTGTGAAAAACAAAAGCTGTTTTTAGCTGGTCGGCGGTGGTGGCTGCACGCCTTTAATCCCAGCACTCAGGAGGCAGAGGCAGGTAGATCGCTGTGAGTTCCGAGGCCAGCCTGGTCTACAGATAGATCCAGGACACCTAAACTACACAGAGAAACCCTGTCTCAAAAAAACCAAACTAAAACAAAACAAAACAAAACAACAAAAAAAAAAAGCTGTAAGAACAAGGAGTGAGGTGGACTTGGCCCTACCCCAGGATGGCAAGGCTTCCCTCCCATACTCCAGACAGATCTATGTTAGGAAGTGCTTGGTGTATTATATAACAAATGTACTTTTATCATTGCTATCAAAGATACCCAATTTGTGGTTTCAGGGGGAGGGTCTCATCCATGGTCACTTAGTCTCAAATGCTTAAGCAGAAAATTGGGGTGGCGGAGGTTGTAACAGGCTATTTGTCAGTTCTTACTGGACAAGAGACAGAAAGGAGAGAAAACAGTGGGGGCCAAGGCAAGATTCCTCTTTCTACAATCTTCCATAATGCCTTGTACCATGAATCCATTGAAGGACTAGGTCGAAACTCTCATGATTGGAATGTGTCTGGAAATGACATCAAAGACACACCCTGAGATATACTTAATACTGAGCTATTACAGTATTTCTTAATCAAATTTACTTGATCATTATAGCATGCCTGAGGCACTGAGGTTAATAATCCCTAGCACTCAACAACAGAAAGGTGAAAGTTCTGTGCCCATATATAGGAGGCATCTATACCCACCTGCAGCTGGGCACAGTAGCACATGCCTATGATCCCAGTCCATTTTGAAGATCATGAACTTGAAGTCAGTCTGGGCTGTGTGTAGAACTCAGTAAAAAAAAAAAAAATTCCCCCACTGATGTCAGATGGCACAGAGTTGGTGTATAATGATGCTTCCAGCCATCTGCACAGTGGGTCACCCAAAGTCATAGGCTTAAAGCATGTAGTGTACCTCAAGATCGAATAAGAGCTCAGGGCCCCCGATGTATTCCACCTAATTATAGAGGAGCAGGGGGAGATCATGTTCATGTTCTGTGTTAAAGAGGCCAGACTCTTTGTAACCCAGGAACTGCTCCCCATCAGCTCTTGAAAGTTTGGGCAACTTGCTTAATTTCTTTGGGGTTCCTTTTTTTTTTTTTTTTTTTTTTTTTTTTTTTTTTTTTTTTCATCTATAAAATGGAAACTTCCTCCTTCCTGGAGTTGTTTGGATTCAGTGAGACGATGTCAATCTCCAAGGGACACACAACATAGCCTGGATGGACTATTTATTATGCCATTGCTATGGGTAACAACATGCTGTGTGGGGGCTATCGAGTGGCTTTGTGCAGGCCACTGGTTAAAAATATCTAACTCCTTCTGCACATGGTAAGCATACTGTTGCTCTATGTTGTTTGGATATCTGGAGGAATTTACCTACTGGGAGAAGGCAAAGAAAGCAGACAAGCCATTTAGGATGCCCTACTGGAGAACAGCCCAGAATGTGACTGGGACCTGGTAATAAAAACTGAATCCTTATCATCTCTTGTTGGCCTGCATGCATCTGAACTATGCCCCTATTGGCGTCTATGAAACAAGTACCCTTCTCAGCTCCAGAAATATGTCCAAGCAGTCAGCCCACCCCACATACTGTCATTGTCTTGTGTATCTTAAAACAAAGCATGATAATCTGCTCTTCTCTTTCTTTCTCCACCTAGTAAACTCCGGAACCAGGCACAGAGCGAGCGATATGGCTACAAGGAGGTAAAATGCCATCTCTTTGCATTAAACTTCCTTCTTCGCCCCTTTCCCTGATAGGGAGAGCAAGCCCAAGCTTCTATAGCCTATATTCTCTGACCTCCTGGGCACCCCAGAGGCTTCCCATTCCTGCCACTGTCCTCAAGTTGGGTTTACTTTTCACCTTCATGAAGAGAGAGATGCACACCATTGGATGAATCTCCCTGGCTCCTGTGGTTGGTACCTTTCAGACATCAGCTGTATCTTTCCTCCTCAGGTGGTGCTTAAAGGCGATGCTAAGAAGTTGCAGCTCTATGGGGTAAGTGTCTTGGGATAACCCTTGGAAGGATCCTGCTTAGAGCATCCTTCTCCAGCTCTTTGCTTGGACCTTCTCCAGGCTCTTTAGTTCCCTGCCTTCAGATTACCTGTGTCCAAACAGAAGGAATTCATCCCAGCAGGTAATGCATTTTGTCTGGAGTCAGATAAGGCAGGAAACAAAGGTAAATGGAGCAGGAACCTTGCAGAAACTGTTAAGGGTGTGACAGGCTCTATGCCATAGACAGTGCTGTGTAGAATCTCTAAGGGTATGACAGGCTGTATGCCATAGGGAGTATGCTGTGTTGAATATATGAGGGTGGCCACAGGTTCCATGTCATAGGCAGTGTGCTGTGCAGAATCTTTAAGGGCGTCATAGGCTCTGTGCGTTAGGTAGTGTGGTGTGCAGAATCAGTAAGTGTATCACACACTCTGTACCATAGGCAGAGTGCTGCTAACTTTCCCTTTTTTTTTTTTTTTTTTTGATACCAATGCTCTGGTCTGTGACTAAAGAAAATAAGGACCTTTTTTACTCATGTATATTACATTGTCCTAACAGATCAGTGACTTGTATCCCTAGTAATGGTTCTGGCCTGTTCCTCCCCTCCACGCCTCTCCCACTACCCACATAAGGCCAATTCCATCAAGTCTCTCAACTTTGACCTTTTTATTTCAGTTAAAATACAATTACACCACCCACCCTTCCTTTTTTTTCCCCCTCCACCTCCTCTTTCAATGGACCATTTCCAGATCAGTTCCCTCAGCCTTTGAGGTTACCTAACTCATCTCCCAAGGCTTCCATCCATAATCACAGACACCCTAACCAGAGTGAGCCGTTTGTGGTTGTCTGGAAATGAATAGGATTCCAGCCTCACCAAACATGAGACTCCCTAGACGTGGCCTCATCTTACTCTTGTTTTGCATGTTGCTACTACACCACAGGTTCTTTTAAAAAGTAAGTTCAGGTGTTTCTTAACTTTTGCAGTAGTTAAGCTGAGACCTTGGAGTTTCATAAATGGGGGATATAAGTCTGGATTTAGAGAATGTAACTGAGCACATACATCTGTATTAGTCAGGGCTCTCTAGTGGAACAGAACTTATAGAATGAATATGAATATATATATATATATGTATATACATATACATATATATATTCTAATATATATGGGATTTATTAGAATTGCTTATAGGCTCTGGTCCAGCTAATCCAACAATGGTGGTCTACCAAAAGAATCTAGTAGTTGTTTAGCCTACAAGGCTAGATGTCTCAGCTGGTCTTCATTACATACTGGAATCCCAAAGAAGTAGATAGACTAGACTGTAACACCAGTGAAGGAATGGACTTGCCAATGAGAATGAAAGCAAGCAGTCAGAGCACGCTTCCTTCTTCTATCTTCTACATAAGTTACCAGCAGAAGGTGTGGCCCAGATTAAAGGTGGGTCTTATCACTTCAAAGATCCAGATTAGAAGTGGCTCTTCCCACTTCAAGTGATTTAAGAAAAATCCCTCACTTGCCAGGTGGTGATGGTACACGCCTTTAATCCCAGCACTCAGAGGCAGGTGGCTCTCTGAATTCAAGGCCAGCCTGGTCTACAGAGTGAGTTCCAGGACAGCCAGGGCTACACAGAGAAACCCTTGGGGATAGAGGGGAGAAAGAAAGAAAAAGAAGAAAAATCTCTCAGGTGTGCCCAGCCATTTGGGTTTTAGTAAATTTCAGGTATAGTCAAGTTGACAACCAAGAATAGCCATCACATCTATCCTATGGTCTTACTCGTTATTACTGTGTGCCTCCTTAGTCATGCTGTAGGCTAGAAAGGACAGAACTACTCGAGACCAATACTGTCAATTAAAAACTTGTTCTGAGTCTATACTCTCCCAATCTGGGAACCATCAGCCATAGGTAGCTGTTGAGCATTGAAAATATGGACAGCCACCTCCAGGGTATGAGAGAGACTTAGAACTCATATCAAAGTAGCCTGCGCCCACTAAGTAGGCACCATGAGCAAAACTCTCTTTCCTGAGCCAAAATATACATCATTTGAATACCTGAGCAGTTATCGGTGACATTAAATAGTTGTATCCATGTCTAAGGAGTACTGTAGGGATTTGGCTGAATTATGACTTGTTAGATTCCTTAGGTGGCAGCTACCGAGCACCAGAACAACCTGGAATGGTGGTAGCATGAAGAAACAGTGCCTTGTAGGAGAAGAATTGGCATGCTTATAAACAATGAACTGAACATGGTAACTCAAATCTATAGTCCCAACACTATAGGGAGGTGGAGGCTAGAAGATGAGAGATTCAAGGGACAGCCCTGGTTATCCAGTGAGTCTGAGGCTAACTTGCGCTGTGTGAGAGTCTGTCCCCCAAAAAACAAAACCGAAAATAAAACCAGGATGTTGAGCCGAGAGATCTCTGTTTCCTCCCCTAAGGGCCCTATCACCAACAGCAAAAACCACCACACACTCTTTATTTAGTGTTTCTGATTGTGGGGCAGGGGATCCAATTCAGGGTCACACGGATGATGTGCAAAACTCCACACTGACCCCCCATCCCAGGCCAAATTTTCATATTGAAATAAACACTTGAAGAAACGTGGCCAGTGCTCCTGAGCAGCTATGTTTACAGTTTCTTCATTTGCTTGATTTCCGTTTAAGCAGCCATATTGGCTACTAATCCTGTCGATACAGTCCTATAAATATGGCTGAGCTTCGTCTGGGCTCACGCAGGAAGGAGATGGGGTTTGGAGTTTGGTTTCCTTGTCTGAAAATTAGTTGGTGGATATTCAGGATGGATGGGCGAGGAGGGCCTCTGGACTCCTAGCTCACAGATTCTCGTCCTCCCTCTCTCCCTCTCCATAGCAGACCTGTGCAGTTTGTCTGGAAGACTTCAAGGGGAAGGACGAGCTAGGCGTACTTCCATGCCAACATGCCTTTCACCGAAAGTATGTGGGGATGTGATGGGGGGGGGGGGCGGGGGAGGGTCCTGCAGAGGGGAACTAATTAGGGAGTATCTTTAAGAACCCTCTAATCCCCGCCAATGCTGTTCAACAGTGATGCCCTAGGTTCAGCACGCCAGAGGGGTTAGCCCGGGGCAGGCACAGGGGTACTTTGTTCCCAGAAGCAGCTGGACTCAGAGACAGCTGGAGCCATGTGGAATGTCTCCTCGGAGATAACGGTCCTCTTGTTCACAGGTGTCTGGTGAAGTGGCTAGAAGTGCGTTGTGTCTGCCCCATGTGCAACAAGCCTATCGCTGGCCCCACAGAGACCTCGCAGAGCCTCGGGATCCTGTTGGATGAACTGGTGTGAGCGCTCCTTGTCCGTGGACTCTGGAGAAGACTGCTCGCTCTGTGGGCACCGGGGTTCCTCCTCCACACAATGAACAAGACTTTCTTGGGTGGTAACATTCTTCTGCACTCACCTCAAGGCACGGGTGACAGGGCCGGGCTTCCACCAGCAGCGCCGGACCAGTACCAGACTCGCCCAGGCTCTGCCTCCCTCCCAGAGCGCCTTTCCCTGTTACCCAGTCCCAGGGACCTCACCCAGCCAGACTACTCTATCCTGGTACTCCACTATCCACCTGCCTCATCCTTACCCTGGGAAGGAGTCAACCCTGTGACTGTGAGCATGGGCACTTCCCTTTGGAGAACAAGCGACTCTGGCCTTGAAAGGATGAGGAGGCTCTGCCCCACCCACACCCCTCACATCCTGCCAGAGCCTTGGGATGGTTTAAAGGGAAGGATGGAGAAAGATCAAGAAACCAAGGTGGAAGACTCAGCATGAAATAAAGGAAGTCAGGGACCTGCCTAGAAAAGGGAAAAGTCAATGTTTACATGGGATGCAGGAAACAAAGGCCAGCCTTGTCCTGGCCCACCGCAGGGTGATGGGACCAACCATCCCCTGTTACGATCTTGAGGTGCTATCCATTCTCTCCCTGACCCTGGTTAATCTCAGAGCTTCCTATTCCTCGTTGGTTTTGAAGAGACCCCCACTCTATGGAAAGGGACTTTTTCTATCCTCAACACATTTCCAGGGGCTTTCTTTTTGGAACAGACCCTGGGGTGGGGGTGTCTGGAGGTTACCGTAGTGCGGATGTCTGCTGCCCCTCTGTAAATAGTATTCTCTTGTACTTCATCATCACCGTCTCAGGCTTTACACATGCTGCACCCCCCACCCGGGGATGGAGGGGGTGGAGTGATGGGGAGGTGGAGTCTCCCCTTCCTCAGCCCGGTGTCTGAGAGTGGGCAGAGGTTATGTATTTAAAGAAAATTAAATTTAATAACATGTTTCTCTAATCAAATTTGGCTTGTGGTTGTGGCCTGTGCCAGGGGAGGCAACAGACCTCTTCACCTGCTTCCTCCTCCTTCCTAAGTCAGATGGTACTTGACATTTCTAATCTTTAAAAAAAAAAAAAAGGAAGGAAGGAAGGAAGGAAGGAAGGAAGGAAGGAAGGAAGGAAGGAAGGAAAACTGGGCATGTAGCACAGTTTCTAATCTTTTTTTAAAAAAAAAAATCGACTGGGCATGTAGCTCAGTGATGGCATGCTTGGTTAGCATGCTCAAGGACCTGGACCTGGGTTCAGTTTCCAGCAATGAAAAAGACAAAGGATTACCTGTTGAACACCAGTGTGAAATAAGACCCGATGAAGCCAGGATCAAAATCATCAGAAGGTTTAGAAACACTTTAAAGTCAATATTTTCAAGTGCCATTCACCAACTAAGACTTGGAACTGATAGGATTCTACCTGTAAATTGACTGCTCGTGACCTTGCAACCTCAAAGGTCCACGTAGCTCCCCAATGCCCCGTCTGTTTACTACTTCTTGTCCCTCACACCCTGACTGGCATATCATAGCCTCCTACACAACATCTAGAATTCTACATGGTAGCAACTTAGGGCCCTGTGTACATCCTGATCGTCTAGCTATGTCCTTTTCCCAAGAGGCTGCTGCATCACAGTGAGTGCATACAGAATGGGATGATGTTGGGAATGCCCTTCCTAAGTATAAAGTAGCTACACCTTGGTTGCCACTGCTTGGTAGCATAGTTTAATGCCAGTCAAGCAGGCAATATTCCTTGGGTGCTATGAACAGGAAAACCATTTGCTGAGCCCAGTATAGGGTTTTGATACCAAATTACAGGAGCTATCCATCAGGTTCCAGCCACCTAGAGTGGGTGTTGTACCCTCTTACCCAGCCATGGTCTTGTGGAGACTGGACAGTACGAAGGTGTACCTGGGTACCTGAGTATGGGGTCCTCTGCAGGAAGGTGCCCTTATTCTTCACATTAAGTAGCCGTTGCTTGTGGTGCCAGCCTTACGGGACCTGATCCCTCCACTGAGTCACCATACCCTCTCCTAGCACTGTTAGTGTGTAAGTATTGAGAAATAAGATGTATTTTCTCAGCCAGTTTCAGCCCCTCTTCCCATCCTGCCACTGGTGGAAGCATCGCGGGAATATGGTGGGGAAAGTGACCACGTTGGCTTTGCATCTCCTACTTCACCGTCTCTCCTTGCTGTCAGGAGGATTTGTCAGTGTTAGCATCCAGATACGTTAGCATAATGCACATTTCACAGATTTTAAATCATTATTCTGAGGTCAAAATGACGTGGGGAGGGATACCTTTACTCCCAGCGCTTCCATTCAGTTACGTTGAGGTACGGTAGTATGTATTTCCCAAGTGCACAGAAGGGAAAGCGATACTGTTTAGCTGACTGGATTGTCAGCGGCTGAGCACAGAGAATCTATCCCCAATTCACACAGTCACTGGTGAAGTCTTGTTACTTAGTTCAGCCTTTCTAGAACACCTGCTACCCAGATCGACCGCTTAACAGGAAAATCCTGACCTTGGGGATTTTGTGTGAGCATTATGCTTGGGTAGAGCATATGGCAGGGATCTTTACTCAGCTGAGAGAGAGCAACAGCAGGAGTATGTGCCAGGACATGATGCCCAACCTTGAGAGTTGTAATGTGGCCATTTACCGTGATTCACCAGACTATTGGGGACCAGAGAGTGCATTCTGTATGAAGCTAATGTGGGGAAGGGCAGTGGAGTGGGAACCGGGGGTGGGGGAGGATAAGTACTGGGTGGAGGCCAGGAACAAAGGATTTGATATACAGTAAGCCCCCTCAGGTTTATGTAGATAAAACTTAAAATCACAAACCACTAAGCACCACCTGAGAACTAAGCAGATTATTTTCTCCTCTGAGTCCGGCAAAGTCATAGGCAGCTGCAACATGCCCAGTCCTATTTATATCAACAAAGAACTTCTACCCTGAGTGTATCTGAAAGGGGAAAGGATCAAAGGAAGTTGTGTCGTGACCATACATGCCAGCTTCAGTGACCTAAGGTTTTCATTTTGCTTTTTTTTTTTTCCCCAAGAAAAGATATTTTGCTTGCTTTTCTGCATACATTCTGAACATACTGAATTTAGGATTAGGATGTTAAAAACAAGCAGTGCTCCCATAATTGAACACTTAAGTGTCAAGGCTAACACGCAAACCCCAGACAGCATGGATCCAAGTTCAATGCCAGCTGCATCGCCCACACTGTTTCAAAAGCAGATGATGCTGAAGACTTTCAAAGGACAAGGTGCTGTCAAGCCTGATGCAGCCAGAGAAGACAAAAACCTCATAGTCCCATGATCAATACCCTCGCCATTATTAGGAGCATGGCAGGATCTTGCAATTTATGGTTTTTGTTTGTTGTTTTTAATTTGGGGGGCTTGTGTGTTTTAATTCCATGGTGGCTGACTTAAGTCTTAAATAGAACCATCACTTACAAAATGGGTCACTGAAATGAGTAAAGAGCTCTTTTAGGGCAGAATTTGAAATTCAGTGGAAGATTGGGACAGTAGGTGAGTTTAAAAGTATGCCAGCTTGGGCAGGACATAGTGACACATGCCTTTAATCCTAGCACCTTAGAGGCAGAGGCGGGCAGATCTCTGAGTTCAGAGTCGGCCTGCCTACATAGTTCCAGAATAGCCATGTAAGTAGCCAAATATATAGCTGGACTATATAGACAGACCCTGGTTTAAAAGAAAAGTACTGCCTTTCCTTTCCTCATGGTAATTCCTACCCAACCCCAACCGGGGCCTTCCCCATATTCGCTACAGTCTTTTATTCCTCAGTTTTGACATTTTTCCTCCTTACCCATCATCTGCCCTCTATTCCGTTGTCTCCTCTTTGAGCATCATCCTAACATCTTCACCGCCCTCACTGTGTCACTCTCAGTCAGAGGGACAAATGTGATCGAGTTGGAAACAAGGACAAAGTGACCAGTTATACATGTGTGTCCAAACTTGCAACATATTAAGCTGTTTAGTGGTCCACTCCCTAGGATTGGATTGCAACTGATCCCATGTAAGACATTAAAAGCCAGGCGCGTTTCCTTTCTGATGGGAAGACATCAAATGTCACCTTTGTGCTTTGGTTCTTTCCCTCTGTGACAGCTCATCAAGAGACCATCATTTGTGCTCTGTGGAGGAATACCTGGGGGTAGGGGGAACGGCATCAGCACCAGGAGACATGGGGGACATTTGGCTACTGAGTGTTCTCAGTCATGACCTCTTACAAAGTAGCACACTTTTCTTCATCTATGCCTATTGTCTAATAGTACTAAGAATACCATCTCATTATAGAATTCTCCAGATGAGCTGCTGTTACCATGAATGGAAAACAAACAAACAAACAAAAAAAACAAACAGGAATTGCTAAGCGTTTATGTCTAAATGATGGCGTGAATGCCCACAGAGACTGTCTCCGAGTTCTAAATGTTCAATGAATAAGCATTGTGTCTCAAGAAGGTGCTGACATCCTCAAAAATATAAATAACATTTGTGATGACTGGAACATAAAAACAAACAAACAAACAAAAACCAAGCATGAAGAGGCTGATAAGCAGAGAAACTCTTGGAACTCAAGTCCAAAATGCAATAATAAATTAAATGGCACGGGATCGTTTTCTTTGCTCCTTTCAACATTTAAATCTCTGTTGGGTTGACTCAGGTTTTATGTCTATAAAACACCAGGGATGGCTTTAAAACTCCCGAGGAGGGTTTGGGGGTGTCCTTGGCCAGGGAGCACTTACTTAGCATGAGCAAGGCCCTAGAGTCTGTCTCCAGTGCCCCCTAAATAAAAAAAAAAACCCAGAGAGCAAGAAACTGAAGAATCCTATCTGGAGGTATGAAGACCAAAGAACAAGCAAGCCACCGGTGGCCTTTCGCAAGCCGCTTTTGCTGTAAGCCACGCCCATTTCCTTTCTGAGATGGTGAGAGCACATCCTGTCTGTGTTTCTATCAGGTTCTCATTGCTGTGATCAGATGCCCAACAAGACGCATGGCAAAGGAGGAAATGATTCTGCCCGCGTGGCTTGAGAGATGCATGCAGCCCACCCTTGTCACAAAGGCATGGTGTTGAAAGGCTTTGTGGTGGTAACAGTTGGTGTCAACTGCTTACATTAAGACAGGAAGCAGGTCCATGCTATAAAACCTCAAGGCCTCCCACCTTTCCAGCTAGGTCTCCATCTAAAGATTCTATAACCTCTTCAAACAGGAATACCAACTGGGGTATAAAATGTTCAACATGGGAAACTGTCGGGGACATTTCACTTTGAAACTGCAACATGTCCCTTCCTGAAATATTCAGGGACCAGGGATCAATACCCTCTACTCCATCTGGTTGTATTTGTTAACCCTGGCTTGTCTTTTGTGCCCCCCAAAGGCCTCACTACTGCCACCAGCCTGTCATTTGGGGCCAGGTTGGAAGGTGAGGAGTTTAATGACATGTCCAAAGTTGAAGACATCTAGGACTGCCCTGTCTGGCACCAGCACAGTAGTCCTACCTGGGAAGTCAATATGGTCTCAGCTATGTGTGGTACCCTGCCTCCTTCATTCTTTTATAGCAAGAAGGTTGTAGAGTGAACCACTTGAATTATTCCAAGAACATGTTGCTACATCTACTTTATCACGTATTTCCATTATCAATATGGTTTTAATGCATTTCCAAGCAGGATACAGATAATCCTACACTTTTTTTTTTTTTTTTTTGGTTTTTTGAGACAGGGTTTTTCTCTGTGTAGTTTTGTGACTTTCCTGGATCTCACTCTGTAGACCAGGCTGGCCTCAAACTCACGGAGATCCGCCTGCCTCTGCCTCCCGAGTGCTGGGATTAAAGGTATGTGCCACCACCGCCCGGCCACACTTCTTGTTGTACCAGTTTGTACAGGGAGCTGCTGCTGCTTTTTTTGTTTGTTTTGTTTGGACAGTAGACTGACGATGACCTGAACAATATCTTAAATACAAA